GCCGACAATGTAGTTAGGGGTTGGTCGTTTAGCCTAGCCCAGAATTTCCATGAAGCGTTTACGAGGGGCGAGTATTGACGTCGAGTGTATGGGCCCGTACCGTTCACGAGAGAAACCTTTCACCATTGTGAATGCGCCCTTATGCATGGATCCTCTACCTTTAAACTTGACGCCCGCCGCGAACCGACGCTGGGCGTCCCGACGCGGGACTTCCTTTGCAGGAGACAGAGGAGTCGGGTAACTTCCGTTACATTTACATTGACTTACCATAAAGGTATGTATCACAATTTTTATTTTTTACAAAAAAAAAAAAAACTAAATTTGTAATTTACCCCAATAAATAAATCAATTTCGTATATAATTTATAGCCTGAGAATTTCGTCGCGTTCTCGTAATCTTATTAATTTCTTCGAGTAATTCTCGGCTGACGTATTATTTCCTTAAGGCTGGTTTCTAAGTCGAGTCCGTTTCAAAGCATTGTTGTACGGCAAGACCACTATAGCGGATCCCATTGCCGCTTTAATTCCTAAGGGGTAATTAACGAGCAACAGTCGTTACGAGCAACGGTGCTTACCGTCGGGACGTCGCAACGTCTGACGTCATCCTACTTGCTACGTATCGAAGCGTTTTTCATGTCTGATTTCGTTATCGTCCTAATCTCAGATTTATCTCGTGTACTGTTGCGAAACTCAACGTGAGCTTATCCGAATATTTTGGAGCAATCGATTCTACGGCTAAACAAATATTACCGATAAAATATACGTCGATATAATTGCCAGGCCCAAAATTCTGTATAAGAAAAAGTGATCGATAAAAATAAAAATAAAAAAAAAAGTTCTGAGTAACGTCGAACTCGGGTGTCTTTATGGGCCCCTGGCGATCAGATGTGGCACGTAGCCGTGAATCACGGGGCCCTGTAGTAAATCAGCTCCTATCTTTTCCTGAGACTTTGGAACGTTTTATTTATCTCTTATTTTGCTCTCACCACCTTCTCGCAGCATCCAGCACCTATCTCTCTCTCTCTCTCTCTCTCTTCATTTCTATATATTCCCGTCTCTAATGGCTTTCGGCTGTATATATGTATATATGTGTGGGACTGTGCTCTATATCGCAATGCTACCAACATAATTCTCTGATTTAGCATTGGGGATGGGAGAGGCCTCTCCCGGCAGATACAGGGACGTATTCACGTGAGACATATAGGTGTAACAGATATATGCTCCTACGTACCAAGTTCTAAGTTTAGTTATCGTCCTATTTATCTGAGCTACTGCTTATTATAACTCAGACTGTGTCTGTCTTTGTATTTATTTTTGGTGGCAGTTGGCCCATCTTCTGGGGAATTTTGCAAAAAGTACGTTTTTTTTTTATTAAAAAATATATTTTCATCAATTGGTAACTTGGAATTTACTGTACGGCCCTGATACTGGTGGAGTGGTTAACTCTCGTTGGCGAATTCCAATAGTCACGTTTCAAAATTCACATCCTGGTTGCGTTCTGGGCAATTTGAGTGGCAGGATGGAAAATTGAATTGCAGCTAGTCTGCTTTTCTATTTGAATCTTTCAATCTGCGTTGCTAGGTATCTCTCACAAGAGAAATAGACGTCCTCTCTTGATTTTCCAATAAAAAGATAATCACGTGGTCTCGGCTGCTACGGATAAATTATTTTTGTCCTTTTCTTTTTCATTTCCGGATTTGCCTCGATAAGCGGCTCGTACCAAAAGAACCGAATGATCCCGGCCGTGAAGCGTCGAGACGTCGATCGTAGGCGTCGAGGCGTCACATGAAAAAAGTGAGCAGCCTCTCCGAAGGAGATTGCATTATTCATTTCCTTGGTGGTTGACCGCTAATCGAAAATCCTACGGGGAGCAGAAGGACCGGCAGAACCACCAGAAGTAACTAGCCTAGGGAATATCTAGGTGGATTGAAAATGGGCGAAAAAAAAAGAGATACAAAAAAAGAAAAATTTTAAGACACGGGCGACTGTTCTCCAAGATAAGTAGGACTGTCCAACGAAATGAGAGAGAGAGAAAAATAAAAAAAAAAGAATAACGGAACAAATAAAAAAGCCCAAAGATGAAAAGAGTGCGAGTGATGAAAGAGGGACAGAAAAGAAAATAGATCGAAAAAAAAAAAGATAAAAGAAAATAAAATATAGCTCCCAACCACAGAAAGTGCGTCACCGGATGCTGGCGTTGCGCTCGATCGATCATCGATTTGAATAGATTTCCCTATATAGGAAAAGGAGCAGGGAGTTTTCTCTATCTAGTGATTTTTTTTTTTTATTCAAGACAACTACCTGAACCGACTCCATGCATTTCCCTGGTTTCACTTTATGTCGACCCGCCTTATCAAACGGATCAACAGATTCCTCGTGTCCCGATATACCTATACGTATAGATATACACAGCACAGTTGTTGAAGCATTTGTGCCCCGCGCCTATTTTCGATTTTGCAGAACGATCGATCGACGACCGACCATCGACTTTTCGGACAGTCGCGTATCGTCGATTTATCAATAGCTACCGATCTATTGACCCGTATTGATCCAGATAGCTGATCGGTGCCGTGCGAATGCCTGATAAAGCCGCTGGGAATTTAATTAAGAATCGAAAATCACAGCGTGTCTTATCAGGACGCGTCCTGAGTTATGTATACCTGAGCTACTCGTGCGCGACGAAGGAGACAGCTATAGTACTGCAGTGCGTAAGTATAGTAAAAGATAGAGTCGTGTAGTAGAAGATATAGTGTTAACTAATCGCACCTCAAGGAAAGGGTGTTACGTTCATTTATATCCTTCCTAGACTACTAGTCTTTAATGCCATTCATATAGTATATTGGTACAGTGCACGTAGATATACGCGGGGATAGATTTACATTTGATTAACAGTACTTATTATAGTTATAAATACGTCCTATGAGAGTGGTGAGTGCGAGGGAGACGGAGCGATCGGTGGTTACGCGTGCAAGAGAGAGAGGGAGATATCGGTGAGCGAAATCTTGCAGGTAGAGGGAGAGATCACTGAGATCACATTGAAACATTGCGTCCTCGAATGAGCTGGGCTACGTACGTCACTTTGATAGTTATTTCTGAGGAGTTCGAGTGGCATTCGACGAAATTTCGAATTATCTCTCTTAAGTAAATACACTTATCTCTTTTCAAAATCTTAGCTCGGAGTGTACGATGTCGATTCGAGAATCTCAAAACGAAGATGTCTGAAAGGTGTATTATCGATTTACGATACCATCGATTAATTATTGACACTTTTGTACATTTTAACATTCAATTTCGTCATTTTCTTTCAATTTGATGACAATACTTTTTTCTTCACGGATCCTTTATGCAAGTGCCAATTAAATGGGCTGCAGACAAATTACGAGTGTTAACCTCGTCGATGGGTTGTCGCTGGTTGTTATCGGCACTTATACAGTCGTCGTGTCGAGTAACCCTATAAGCCTATACCTACTTTTTCATTGCCGCTCAACTACAATGAGTTCATGGCAAATTGTCAAGTTACACCCATTACGTGAATGCATGTATTCATATTTCAAATAGCTACACTGTCTTCTCGATTCGTTACAAAGTGTTCAGTCCTTAATTACGTGTACACGGTATATAAGGAACGATAGAAAATTTTGTTTAAAAATATTTTTTTTTTAAATCCTAATCTCGAAATATCATTATCATCGACGTCAAGTATATTCCGAGGAGATAAAGAATGAAGTATCGCCGAAGCGATCTTTCCCAAAGTGTCAAATGGGCTCAGCTGTTTTTTGACAGTTCGCAAGAACTGTCACTTTGCCAAATATTTATATCTGTCAGTGACGGTCACTGCACTCGTTCCACATTTTCAGCGACTGCAATACGGAGCAATACGGAAAGCTACGACGACGGATCCCTCCGTGGGCCATAGGTCTATAGGTAACGCACAGCCTACCGAGAGGATGTTCCACGTGGCAGAAGAATCCGTGTGAAAGTTCTCACCGAGATTTCCGGGCCTCGGAGGAAGTATAACAGATATTCGTTGCTGAACTTAGCTTTACGAATTCACAAGACGATCGAAGCGGACGAGGCCAATTTTTTACTGGTACTGTACCGTGTAAGGGTGGTATTTAAGAAATCGAGCTGTAGCGGTAGATTTGACGAGCAACGCAGCCAATGGGCCCAGCCGTAATTACATTAATGGGACGCAAGTCAAAGGGCCCAATGGCTATTGGCTAAGGGTAGGTAATAGAGGGCTAAAAATTTTGCTCGACTTTGCTTATTGTATTTTTGCAAACGTGACCTCATTGTTTTCGGCTGAATAGGTAGTAAAGTGGGGGGTAAAGGCTTTATTGCGTGTGACATTACTAATAATCTTGACGATTATCCTTTAGGTAGCCAAGAGAGATTAGGAAGCGTATTTAGATTTGTAAAACGATATTAATGCATTTACGACGAAGAATGCACTTTTGAAGTTGCCAATGACAGTTCGTGATCGTACAGACGTAAACACGTGGTTTGGTGAATATGAATAATTTTCTGACAGCTACTGGCCCGAAACGTAGGAAATAATGTCATAGCGAAGGTATCATGATTTTGTCTTAAAAAAAAAAGAGTTTCTTCTCTCCCATCGCGCATCGATGCATTCAACTGCAGTTCAGCAGTCTGCGAGCAGAGTGCAACACGGTCAAATGCATCTTCCGCTAAGAATATTGCGGTAAGAGAGCGAGGGAGACAGCTGTATGGTTTACGAGGACGAATAAGACAGAGACGAAGGATCGGTGGCTCGTGAGACTGTCGGCCAAAGAACAAGGCGGGCTGATTGTCCACAAAGTGGGTGGAGCCATCGTGGTCAGGAGGTGGTGGGGGTAGACGTCGACCTATAGTGGGGAGAAGAGCGGGCCGAGTGGTGGGGATGAGGAAGGAGGCAGTCCGAGCGTAACTGGCCGCCCCACTTCTTCCAGTGCCCGAGACTGCCGCCAGTGGCGCTGCCTGCGGTACTGGCTTCAGCTCCGGCTCATACCCTCACTACACTTCGCGGCTCGAGCCGAGTTTGAGCAGCCGTGCGGTTTGAGCGTTTCGAGCCGAGTCCGACCGAAGTCCTGTCTCTCGCCGGGAGCACATGCGCTGTACTCGCGCGACCTGCCAAGACAAGTCCCGGTCCCCGTTTCTTTGTTTTTCACGTTGTACCTATCAGACGCAAATTCGAGAGACACGAAAATATCGTTTATCGCGCTCGAATTTAATTACGTTGTCGCGGAAACGACCTGTGCGACGCTGCTGAATTTTAAAGTTTTCGGTTAACGGGACGTATTTCATAACCTAGAATCTCTATAAATATCCGAGCGAGCTTAGACCAGACCTGCAACGACGAACCAGTAAAGTATCAGCGTAATGTACACACACACCCTCGGCTAAGAAGTTCTTTAAAGAAGCATCGAGTGAAGGCTAAATCAAAGCGGGGTAACGTGCTCGAGAAGAATGGCAGCCGGGTGTCGTTCTTGCAAGACATAATAATAAACGTTTAAACGATACTGTGCGGATTTGATTAGTAATTTTTTTGTTTTCCTATGTAAATATATAAATGTACATGTAGAGTCAGTGGTGCGTGAACTGTACAGTGTTTTATTGAATCCAAATAATAAATGTGATAAACGTTGAGACTCGCCGAGAGAAGTGCAAAGAAGAAGAGTATATATTGGTTCGAAAGGCATCGAAGAGGTGGCGTTATGCGACTCCGCAGCCGACGGCATCCACGACGTCCACGTCCTGACGTATTCCTGGATTGATCCTGAAGGAATTTCGACGAGGGAACCTCGTTCTCCTCCGACGACGACGCCGACGCCGACGACGACCCCCCTCCGCCCCGTTGTGAAGTGTTGATTTGTTTTGATGCGCCCTGTCAGAGTGTACCGTGTTCAGAGGAAGATTCCGCCGACGTTACTTTGAGGTTAAACGAGGAACTACGAAGGACGAGTGGGACGACGCGCGGCGGACGCCATCTCCGCGTCACCGGCGTCCAGCTCCCACGGTCCACCTATACCTGCTTCGACGTCTCACACCCTTGGCGGGCACCACCCCGCGACAGCAGCCACCCTGATGGGAGTGTATGAGGAGCGCGCCCCTCCCAACACCGGCATGCACTGGGTGAGTACAAAGTCTTATCTGCGCTCTGTTGTTTTCGTCCCGAGGACGTCAGGACGTCCCGACGTCCCGACGCTCCGAGTCCCGCGACTTCTCCAGTTCAGGGTGGCCAACCTGACAATTGTTTCTACCTCTAATTCTGCCTCCTAGCTGCGCTCGCTCTACGATAATTTGCTGCGTCGGACTGTACCGGGGTGGTTCTTGACTTTATTGAATCTCGGCCTCGAGTCGACCGGGGTTGTCATCTTGTCACTTGTCATCGGCAGGATTGATTTGACAGCGAGAGTCGGTCGACCTCGCGTTTGGTTCTGGATTGAATTGCTATCGGGTCATTGAATTAAGGTTCGGGAGTCCTTCGACGGGATCGGATCACTGCCGTAGAAACTCGACGTAATCGTGAAACCGTGAAATGGTCATTGAGAATGTAGGCAGTCAGTCTCCATCACGGGGATCGATTAATGACAGCTTGGGAATGAGGACGAATATTCGTTACGAGGGTAATGACGCGTTTTGCATTCTTTCTATTGCGATGCGTTTGCTGGGGGGCAACAGTGAAGAGCAGTAGCAGTATCGTTGTAGTGCCCGCGACCATGTGGACTCGGCTTGAAGTCCGACGCTCGGAACACTTCGATCTGTTCTCCGTGAAGTCTAGGGAATTTCACCGGGTTACCAGAAACTAATAGGGATTCCGAAGCAGGTGTACGACGACCTTCCATGTACTTTCTTATGGCTGCACTGTTATGTAATTCCCCCCATTTGCATATTTAGATACCGGAATAGTATCTAATGGATACCACGTCCGTTCCGGAGAACGTTCTCCATATTAAGAAGTTACGTTCGACCCGACTTCAGAGCGTCTTCTCCAATTTTAAGAACTGCGTCTGCCGAGACTATCCAGGCTGGAGAACGTTCTGTGATTGAAGATGTAGTGGCTACATTTTCAAGTAAATTTATTTTATTGGCACGCGTGCACGGTTCATTGTTGTTGTTACGGAAGAGTCGTGCAGTCGGGCAGTATATTTTGACTAATTAATTGGCCAGTACTATTTAGTGTAATATATTGAGCAATCAGTATAAATTTTCGGGAGGATTCTGGTCGCCCTGATCGGTGCGGAGGAGCGATGGACCTTCTTGCTGATTTCCTTAAGGCCTGGTAAGGCGCTCCCATCGATTTGTTTCTTCCTCGTCGGTTTAACCTGGTTTCTTGTATTTCCACTGGGTCGCCTTAGTTTACTTGGTAATTCGAAGCTGTTGATTGTTGTGAATCCGAGCTCTAGCTTCCTCTCAGGCGGACACGATTCGCCCGTAAGTCTCGAATAATTAAAGCGGCGCTGCTGGTACCTAATGATCGATCTGCGGAACAAGGTCATCTGTCCCGGGGGTCATTTATCTTTAATCAGTTGGGGTTAAAAAATTAGGAAAAAAATAAATTAAATAAAAACGTATCTCTCGCTCGCTACGGAATTGTCGATTTAATCGAATTCGTCAAATAAATTCGCAAATGTCGAAAATTCTTATCGATCGAAATACCGGATTTTTACAATGTTTGCACAGTGTTCATGAATTTTGTCGAAATCAGGTAAACCTGTTGAAAACGTTGATTTACGTAACGCGCGGAATGTGTGTTTACAGGTAATTCAAAAAACTAATCTTTCGAGTTTATCAAGAAGGCTGTTGTCACTGTCATGTTTAATCAGCAGTCAATTCGGCGCCGTTTTGTCTCACGAGAGACGCTCGGCGTCGAAACTTTATAAACAGCGACATTCCAATATCGGTTTTCATGATTATTATGCATTTCGTTTGTCTGCGATAAAGAACGACTGGAGCGTCTCGGCGCTGAGCGTCTACGTGCGATAATAAGAAAATTGCCGGTCGACCCGGGATATATAAGTAAACAGTTGTGAATTATTATTATCAATACCCCGGCGACGCGATATCAACAAAATGCTCTCGGGCGGTGGGACTATTTACGTCCTGTGGATTTTAATTTATTATGAGGCCGATTTTGAAACGACCAGTAGCGGAATATCATTTCGGATGACAGTCCAAGTATAATAGAATACCCGGGCGTTGGCGTGTGTGTATAATTTATAGCCGGATGTATTAGATGAGATGATATATGCAATGTGTACAGAAAGTATTTTTTTTAATATCCATATTATATATAGTTCAATCAATTTTGCATAAATTAATTAAATTTTCCCCAAAAAAAGTTTTCGTCTACTCTGATAAAAAAAAAGAGACTTTTTTCCACTTTTACCTAAATTTCAGTTTTTTTTTCTCTTTCGTTCGATTTTGACGTTTCCGCGGATACTGAAACTCTCCGCAGCAGACTTGACCTCTGTCTCGCGAGTATCAATCGGCCGAGTGATAACGATAAGGACGGCGGGTCCACAGAGAGCAACGACAGAAGAGGTCGTTTTTTTCATAGGAACCGTCATTCTTGCGAAGAAGCGTCGGGACGCCGTCCGTCCGTACAGTCGGGGGGGAAATTAAAAAAAAAAAAAAAAAAAACGCTACACTTTCCCCATGCGAAAAACGCCTAACGGATTCGATTCGTGGCAGTTCTCGATATATAAAAAGCGTCGGGACGCCCGGCGTCGCCGTCGGTTGTCCGTGCAGCCTAGAAAGTAAATGCTTGACGATAACCCAGCGACGCGACCTTAAAGATACACGCCTGTTATCGCATAAATTCTAATCGTTTATCCTGCCCCCACCATGCTCGCCGTCATCATCATCATCATCATCATCATCATCGTGATGATCGTCATCGTCTATTCCACTGACATCCATATAACGTAGAACCGTTGGATATTAAAATTTTTTGATAATTGAATTCAAATTAATTCAATCTTGTCCTCAGTCAAACCTTTCATCTCTAATTTTCTCAATAGAGAAAGACAATTTGATTTCGAATGACACGCTCGGATTTTATCAATCGCGTTTTTCTTTACTTTTCACGACGACGACGCCCGGCGTCCCGACGTCTTCGAGATCGCGTATACCGCTTTATCGGTTGGACGATCCTTTAATGACTCGTGCCCATTGCGTGCAGCAGATGCAGTTCGAAGGAAATCTATTCGATATATATATATATATATATATATATATATTTACAATATTTTGTGCGTAAAAAATCTTTGAGTATAACTCGCCTTATCTTTTATTTTTTCCCCTCTTATCTCTCTCTCTGTTTTATTATAATTTTTGTCATTCAACCCACCGAGTCTTGCGTATCGGCCATACGAATTCTCGACTCGTTTTACGGCCTGTTGATCCTGCTGTCTATATTTTATTTTCCGTCTCCGTTTCTTTCACTCGCGACGATCGTAAAAACGCAATTAAACATTCGTGCGGTGCTTCCTTTGATTTTGCCGAATGTGACGTCACACAGGCAAACCAAAGATCAGACATCACAGTTCTCACCGGACACGAGAGCGATCAATAGGAAATACAGAAATAGGTTCGTTACGAAAAATCATATTTCGATATACTATTTTTTAAAAAAAAAGTACCTAATCTCATTTCCACGAAACGATGAAATAATCATTCGGATGATACGGTCGTGCGGTTCTTATCACGAGACTGTGTGTGGCATATCGAATTAGTAAGTGCGATATAAATAAGTTCCGATAGAGCAGTGCACGTGTCACTGTGATGCAATGCCAATGACAACAATGCCTGTGATGCTGCACATTGTTAGCGATCTATGATCCTGGATCGCTGCATCTATGTACCATTGGAATGATCAATATCAGCTGCAATCAATGTTAACAATCCTTATGCGCTCCGTACGTAGGAGTATGTAGTTGTCAAAAATCCACTTGCTGTCAGTAACGCACGATCTGCATGGGACAGTCGGTCCTGGATGCATCTGGTGCATTTGGTGCAGTTGGTGCACTTGGTGCAGTTGGTGCACTAGGATACTACGGGCCTTGGAGAGTCGCGCTTGGCTCGGTCGATGCGTAGAAAAGTTAAAGATAGCGCGTATCGTGTCGCGCAGTGTTAAGAGTCGCCCACGCGGCGACTAACGGCAAAAACCATGGGCTGCACGTACCAAGTCGTATGTAATGTATTATATATATATATATATATATATATGTATATACGTATAGTGTAGAATATAGAATAGTCGAAGTCAGTGGTGTTATCTTGTGTCCGCATGGTGGTCGAACTGAGGAAGCTGATAGCGCCGCCTGGGAAACTGGCTTCCCATGCGGCTGCCACCGCTGCCACAAATGTTGACAATGCTGCTATATAGTGTGTATTCCACAAATTAGAATTTTCCGGTCGATCCTGCATTCGGGTGGTTAAGTCGGTACGGGGGGGTCGGGTGGGTGGAGGGGGGAGTCAAAATACGATGAGACTTTTAATAGGGCCTAGGAAGGGGATGAGAGTTCACGTGCTCGTGAATTCGATACTTTTAGTACTTTTCTTCTCGTCGCGTACAAGGTGCAAGAAGGCTCAGTGATGGTTGTCGATGCCCGAGCGCCATTTTGCTTTTGAAGTGTCTCTCGGGATGCTGGGATCGTGTATCGTCCGAATGGTTTTAATGGGTCCTGTTTATCTCCATTGTGTCCGTCGGGTCTCGAACGAGCACGTGGACGAATGCGTCACGTCATTCTGACACTTGGACCGTCTGCGTGGCTCAACGTCCTAATGATCTCCCCGAGAGGAGGTTGGGCAGGTTGCTTCTGTACGGACGGTTGGTGCGTTTTGACGAGCTGAAGAATGACGGCGACAACAGGAACAACAACAGGAACAACAACAGGAACAAGGAGTCCGCGTGCCGGGCCGAAGGAGCTGGAACAATTGTGTTTCTCGAGCGACGGTTGCGCCGACGTGGCGATCGTGGCGGCTGACGGGAAGCAACGGCCAAGATGCTTCTTCCGGCGCGAGTAGGCTGCATCGGCAAGATCAGCAAGATCAGCAAGGGTCCCAGCACACCCAGCACACCCAGCACCAGTCCTCGCGAATTCCAGAAGGTGTTTTCCCCCGGGGTGGCCCCTCGTTATTTCCTTCACGTTCGTGGAAAAAAAAAAAAAAAAATGAAAAAGTCCGAGAATCTTGCGCAAGTGCGAGTCTATTCGCTCGCGCGACTTTCACTCGCGCGAGCGCCGAGCGCCGAGTGCGCGGTCTCCTCCAGGGCCTCCCGTTCTCGCGCTCCCGGAAAGGACACTCCGGCGTCCTCCCGGGGGGCAGCCGGGAGGCGCAGGAAGGAAAGCCGCTACGGTTCCGTGGGACCCGAAGTTGAATCTCGCGGGGGACGGGAACAAATTTGGAAAGGGGGGGGGGGATCGAAGAAGAAGAAGAAAAAAAAAGAAACGGACCAATTGATCGGGGTTGACGATTTGGCGGCGGGCGTCGAGTTTCCTCGACCCTGACCTATCCCAACTCGAGGGAGTCTAGGAGCGATAGGCCGGTAACGGAGGTTAGGTCGGAATAATTGTCCGTGCGTTATGCGTTCCGCGCGCGTCTCTGCTGGCCGCACCCGCGCCTCCTGTCCAGGCAGTGGAAATTGCCTGGGTGCTATAGTCGCTATAGCCGCGGCGCGGTCGGCCATTGGCTGGTCGACCGGCGACGTTGCTATCCAGGATAGCAGCCACTGAACCTCCTCCTGGCACTTGGCGACGTCGTCGTTTGCTGAGTCCACCGTAAATACCGGTATCTGGAATCGTAAAGTACGGCATTGGTTTTCCTAGCGGGCGACTCTCTCGCGGCGACGATAATTTATGTCGCGGAGTTGCGCCGCGGCGCGTTGACAGTTGAAACACGGCGGGCGCTCCGATTGGTGGACGGAGGCGCCTTATAGGGTTTCCCCGCGTGCGCGCGCCGCTTCGCCCCCTTGCACCCCCTCCCCCTCCCTCCCTCCCTCCCTCCTTCCTCATACGTGCCGCAAGCGTCCATCTTTCCGATATGCCTTTCTTTAACGTGGAATACGAGCCACCCTGACATCCATCAGCGTCGCGACGTCTATGGCGTCTCATAGGGTCGCGCCGCGCTTTGCCGCTGATTCGCCTAACTCGGTGCGCGCGCACCTTTTTCAATTCCTCCTTCGCATAACTTCTCGGCTGGATTTATTCCTCTATTAACTCGGCAGCTCGGCGCTGCGCGGGATTCCCTTGGTGCTCCGTCCTCCTCGTCATTGTTGCTTCTGTTGGGGAATTTTTTTTTTTTTTTTTTTTTTCTACGTTCACCTCACTTCCGGTCGGCCTGATTTACCGGGACCATTGCCGTTGGGTCGTGTTGCGTTATTTATCGTTTGTTCGTTTTTTTGTTTTGTTTTGTAACTTAGAAGGTGCTCCGAGTAGATATCAAGTCAGGCCAGGAGAGTTCAGCGAAGCGTTTCGGCCGATGCGAATGCACGATTTCATTTTTGTTATTGGTTCCGCGGTAGGACTGTGCAGTTTGGACGGAGTCGCAGGGAAATTGTAGGGACGTTGCGTGTACAGTCCCAGTGGGAATTGCGGCGCGGAGCGCAGCGGTAGATTTAATAGTCAGGGGGAGTGTCCCGATGGAACGTATAAGAGTGCATAGGGAATATACGAAGAAAGACTGGAACGCCCGTGGCGCACTCTGGCGGCTTCGCTTTAAAGAGTGGATACCACACGGCAGGAGCTGCACGGGGAACGACATTTGTCATGGCATATTTATGACGTCGCACTCGCGACGCGCTCGGCCTGTAAATTTGCTCATGAGAAAACTCCTTGCACGTTTGATCGTTCCAACTGGGTCCCAATTAAATGGGCGGCCATCGGACTTTCCATAATTTCTCGATGATCGGTGAGAGAGCAGGTGAACGTTGAGAGAGAGAGAGAGAGAGAGAGAGAGAAAAGAAAAGGGACGAATGAGGTAACAGGTGTCGGTATCGAGTCGTAGAAACGAAGAGGACACTACCGAGATAGATAATGACTTATCGATAAGGCCCAAATTGCCGTTGCTGTAATTCACTGATGTCCCGGTTCAATTCTTACACGTTTTCTATGATTTGTTTCAGCAGCCGCCGAGCTCTCAGGAGCGTGGTAGCGGCTTGGGTTTGGGGTGCCAAGGAGGGCCTGGCAGTGCAGGTGGGCCAGGAGGTGTCGACCAGGCCCGTGACCTTAGCCCTTGTCTCCCTGCGTCGATGGGAGACGCTGCAAGACCTACGACCCTACCCTGCAGTCCACCCGCGGCCCATCATCACGGGACCAGTCATCATACGGCCCTGACCCATCAGACCCACTGTGGTACCAATAACAATTGCTACGACAGCTCCAGCACGCCCTACGACTCCAGGGACTACGGATCTCCCGGAGGTTAGCCTTACACGAAAATTACACAGAGAAAGAGCTGCTACTGGTTTAACGTCTCTTGATCCAAACGTCTTTTCGCTATGAACTGGGTCTTACTTATGACACGATTCTGGTTCCCCAGGTGGTACCGAATATCGTACGAGCAACTATGAACACTCGAATGACCTCAGCATGCCACCACAGACCACGCATCACCATCATCACCATCATCATCATCATCTGCATCAGGCCCAAGAACACCATCCCCAAGAGCAACAGCAACAGTCGGAGCATCTTCACGCTGTACCGAAGCTGGAGCCTCCACCCACGCCCCCCTCCCAGTCCGAGGACGTCCCGGCCGTCGTCTGCGCAGGATGCGGCCTCAGGATATCCGACAGGTTTTATCTCCAGGCTGTGGACAGAAGATGGCACGCGGCCTGCCTCCAGTGCTCCCACTGCCGCCAGGGCCTCGACGGCGAGGTCACGTGCTTCAGCAGGGACGGCAACATCTACTGCAAGAAGGATTACTACCGGTGAGTCTTTTTTTATTTTTTATTCTTTTTTTTTTTTTTTTTTTTTTCAAAAACCCAACGACCACCAATCTTTTTCATGTGAAATAATATGCCTGGAAACGCATCGCTTCACTCTGCCGCATCATCCTCGACGTCCTGAAAGCGCCGGTCCTGACTTACTTCGGCGTCGGCCCCCTTCTCTGTCCTCGACACCTTGCGCCGCGACGCCCAAGAGTGGCCCCGATACATCTTTACGATCTCGTCGTAAAGCACTAAGGCAAATTCCAAGAGGATCCGCTGCTATCGGCCTCACATGTCGGTCGACTCGTGGACGCGCTTGTAAAACGTGCATTAGCGCCTTTACGAGACGCTGTAACTGTGATAAGGCGTCGTTTCGGTCGCGGGACGACGTCCTTCCTTTTTTCCCTCTGCATTTTGTTTTCACGTGTAAAGCAGCGATTGGTGATTTTGACGAGCGAGTCGCGCGCGGCTCCTTGGGTCTCTTGGAAGTGTAACGTCCAACGGACGGAGAGCGAAGGAGAGCGAAATGGTGCGGTGTTGTTATTGTAACGCAACCATAAATCCGAATGGCCCGAAGGAAACCATGGAAACCGCGGAGTATATATCTGGATTCTAGACGTAAATCCTTATCAAGGAGTATAATCGGCTTAAGACGTGACTCGCAAAGTGCACTCTAGTTCTCGAGACTTCCGGTTTACATTGCCTCTCAAATGATAATCGCGCCGTTTCATCATTTTGCCATACGTGGCTTGTGCACGTAGGTGCACACACACGTGCACCACATCCGCACCCGAAGGAGCGTCCACTGTACTTCTTAAGGATATTTTCACGTGGCGACGATCGATCTTTTTGCGTGGACGGTTAATTGGTCGATTTCGATCGATGCGATCCAATTAGTAATCGAAGATGATCCGAATGTAGATGCATTTGGATGCACTTATGAAGGACCGGCTGCAGTTTATTCCTTCAATTTTTCGAATGCACTTTGATATCTATATAGAAAATGTTTCTTTCATTTCATCTCCAGCAGATGGCGCTCTCTACGTAGATCACCGGTATCTATAGATATACAGGCCCCGAAGGGCCTTATCGGGCCCAGGTCCTGCGCAGGTCCTGCGCAGGTCCTGCGCAGGTACAGGGGGCCCCACACGGTGCGATATTAGCGCGCACCCACAGTACCTACTCGCTCGCTTCGCGGATCGTCCGTTGCGCGCGAATCTTTTTCTTCTTCTTCGCTTCTTCAGCTCCTTTCTTCCTTGGCTCTTCCTCCTCTTCTTCGTCTTCTCCTCCTTTAAACCGAACTGGCCCGTCTACCGACTAATGGTCACGACTCAGCCATTTACCTCCGGCGAAGCGTCGATACCCGATAAATCAGGTCCGATCTACATTTCGCGACGATAGCCGCGATAGCTGGCTCGGCGACGCTCGTTAGACAACTTCCGGTTTAATTTTGGAGGAGCAAAAGGACGCAGGTGACCCGATTGAAAATATTATCAAGATTGTCCAGTCGCTGCGCCAATGAGAAATAGGCCTCGTGTGAATCCTCCTTTAGGCTCCGGTGTGTCTTTTCAAATGATTCTTAAAGTGAAAGCCAGGTACGAATTGACGAGCGGTACTGTCCGGTGCGTACGAGCCTTGATACGCAACCAGCGAAATTTTTCAGTAATAAAAACCGTCCCGCTTTCCCCCAGTAAAATCGCGTCGGCGAGTCGCAGTTCACACGAGAACGATTCGCGATGATTCTAGGATAACACGCATGTAACGAATGTAACGAATGTAACGACGATAATGAAGTCGCCTGTCGCGCCGGCGATTCCGTCGTTCGCGATTAACGTCTCAGTCGCCGTTTCGGTTTCTATAGCCGGTAGGCACCGACGCAACGAGGCGACAGGGTGCATCCGCACGGTACGACGCAGCGAGATAGGTGCACGAGGCGCAGTGTCGCCAAGATCTTTCATGCAGCCGCGCTGCTCCGCGCCTCGCGGACATCCCGTCACGACACGCTTTTGGGCCTTAAGCCTTATCTCGCCGTTCGCATGCGCGATCTGCACGCCGGGATTCCTGTTATTAGTCCAAAGACATCGCGTGCGTCCGGTGTGAGACTCTCGCGACTCCTGCTCTCTCGCGTCCTTTCTCTAGTTTCCATGATCCCGAGTCGGACAGCAGCGCTGCGCGCGACATAAAGGCAACGCGGAAGAAGCGCCGACCAGACGGTCCCAAAATCAAAATCAATCCTCCCCTCGAACCGCAAATCGCAAGGTGCACTGTGAACTCGCCCTTAAGGCTTGATACGCAAACTATTTAAAAAATTAATCCGAAACGTACATATATATAGGTATACGGGAAGAGCAAAGTAAGAGCCGAGAAGAAAAAAAGAAAAAATTAAGCCTGATTTCCACGACCGCGACGAAGACGCGGCTCCGTGATCTCGCGTGACGTCTCGGGTCGGGTCGCTGATTCCGTCGTAAAAATTGCTTGCGCGTAAAGAGATCGTTACCACCACGGGCACGGTTAACAGCTTCCTGGATTACACGCTTCTTCTCGTGGATAGCTATATCTATGGATGTAGTACCCGTATATATATATATATATAGGCAGGGACGTATGTAGGCGGAGGGGGAGAGGGGGTGCCCATACGTACCTGCGTCTTCTTGTTCCTCTTCTTGGGCCTTGTGCGAGGGCCCACAATGTAAAGCGTCTTCTTGGGACCAGTCGAAGCGTGGCTCAAGAATACCTAACGTTGCCACTCATGTATATAGTTTCGTATTAATATATATATATATATATATACGTTGAAACGCACACTATGTATATATGATTCTCCGATCCTACCGCGATAAAGTGAATTCGCTATGACTTAATTGAAAGTCTAGACCTTCGTATCGCATCCAGGATCCGCGACGCCTCGTTAATCACGGGGGCCTCTTTTCTCTTTTTTTTTGATACATGATTTTTTCGGCACATTTTGGGCCCTCATCTTTTGGCCTCTTCTTATTCATCAAGCGATTTTTCCATCTGTCTACCTTCGGGTATACCACCTACCTAAGCGCGGGTCGAGTCGCTTCTAGGTATTTTTTTTTTGACGCCATATCGTACCAACTACTAGTTTATGGTTCTTTGGTATGTAGCCTATATGGTATAAGGAATTGTTAGGCTGGCACCCCTTACTCTCTCTCTCTCTCTCTCTCTCTCTCTCTCTCTCTGTGCTATAGTTTACATGTTGCGATTACTATATGGAAATGGGGGTATTTTACTGTAGTTGGGACTCTGGCGCCTTCGTGACTATCGGTGTGGTATAAGTGTACTTCGGTAACCGGTCTAAGAATCTGGATAATTAATCTATTCAACGCGACGATAGATCACGATAAACGGCGACCGCTCGTAATCTATGGAAGGACCTGTAGGACCTGTAGGACGTACAGTAGATGGAAACGGTGGACTTCCACGTGAGAAACATGTTTTGAAGTGGCTGGCTGTGGCTTCCGTTATTTTTTGGAAATTCGTGTCTCTTCGTTTGAATCTTTTTTTTTTCACCTCCATTAATGGGTATTTCCAGAACAGCTTTTTTTTTCTTTTCAAATACCACCGTACGGTGCTTCGGAACAGATCTTGTCCCTTGTTCGGTAAATTTTTTGCTCTCATATTTCGAGTCGTCCATTAGGACAATAATTGAATGTCTTTCCTCGTACGACGGGATGATTATTGTTACGTAAGGTGATCATCTCCCCATCGCAACTCGACATACGAACCGGCACGTGATTTATTGAAGAAATTTGTGTATTTTTGTACGTTTGAATTTTCAAAAATTCTCTACGGCAACGTCGAAATTATTTTCTGCGCACGCGACGCGCCTCCCAATATCATTTGCATTATCGAGCGAAGCTCCTTCGAAGTCCGCTACTTGTATAAGCTGAGCGTGTGTGTAAAAAAAGAAATGGTGGAACAAAAAGAAAAATTATTTCAGGATAAATTATACACGCCGAGTCAAGTACCGCGTCCCACGTGGTACCGAAGTGCGCCGAACATATCCGATAAATAACGAACCCAAGTCGTCCCGTTTCTCCACTTGCGATTCGCTCGCCCTGTGTGGAGGGTCCGGATATACGGCGACATCCCTCATTTCCCCCCCCCTCTTCCTGCCTCCTCCTCGTCCTCCAGTACTTGTCCTCGAATTGAGGAGTAAAATTGACAAAGGACGAGGAAGAAGTACAAGATCCCCCC